AGCCTCATGATTTAGAGGGAACCTCCAAGTTCCAGGCTTGCTGGAATCACTGCTCCACTCTACGAAGAGACAAAGCGGTCCTGAGGTGAATTCCTGCTTCTGTTACCTTCTCACTGTATGATACAGAGGAAATTAGCTTCTTTCTCCTACTGAGCTCAGTTCCCTCATTCATAAAATCAACCCCCCAATAACCATCTCACATAAGATTTATAGGATGCCTAAAGAGCATAGGACATACAAAATGCTCAGTGCATCTTTTATTATTGTATAGCGATCTTGCAGACATCTTCAGCTAATTTAGGAATAATTGAAGACAAAAGGAGAAAACCTTAGAGATTATTAAAATTTCAAAGCAACACTGGCATTTTCTTAATTCCTTTGCTTCTTTGTGGAACAAAAATATTTGCTTTCACATGGTGGATTTTAGGTGCCATGGAAACAAGAGTTGAAAAGGTTTCAAGTAAATAGAAAGCAATCAGCTGAGCCTGAGATTTTCTTTAAAATATAATGATAAAATTTTTATCAGAACAACATTTCTATGTGATTTGGGGGCAGGAGAGAGGGGTGAAGAGCACTTGATGCTTTTGCGGAGGACCTGGGTGTGGTTCTTGGCATGCGAGGGCACACAGCTATTTGTAACTCCAGTTCTGGAGGATAAGTTCTTTTCTTCTGGTCCTCACAGGCATTCCATGCAGGCAAAACCACTTGTATACATAATACCAAAATAAATAATTATTTCAATCTGATTTTGAAGGGAATATATTACTGTATCACTAGATCAAGAATTTCTGAATATTGAATACTGTAAACTATGTTAACTTTGCTGAGTGAAAATTGTCATTAGTTTTATATCCAGAGGATGAGGGATCATAGAATGATTTCATAATTTAAGAGGGACACTAAGTATTCTGTTTGACTATGTTTGAACCTGGAACTTAAACTGTAGTGTAGGGTGGCCTTGTACTCACAAGGTATCCCAGGCTTGCCTTGAAGTTATCAAAATCCTCTTTCTTCAAACTTCTGAGTGCTGGGCTGCAGGTGCAAGGCATTTGGATATGTATAAGTGGCAGAAATTTTTACAGTTCTGTCCTTCGAAGAGTTTATTAATTTTTCTCTGTGAAAATATCTTTGCTAAAGACTTTGTTGAGTAGTTACCAGGAAGTATAATTGGTTCTAAATATGTTTACATATGTTGTTGTAAGGAAGAGATTCTATAAAAATGAATGTACTTGCAATGGCTCTAGTCTGTTCTGTCATTTAAGAAAAATGTTTTTAAGATATTAATAACATTTATCAATTTGCAGTATATTTTAAGACTATATATTTTAATACTTTTTGCTCTTGACAACCACCATGGTATCCTCAAAACAATAAAATCAGATTGTTAAAGTACAGAGCTGAGGACCCAAGTTGCAAGCAAATCTATTTTTATGGAAACACAACAAGAAAACAAAGAAAACCCACAAAGATTTCTATTCCCATTTCATTCTCAGAATTTTTAGTCTTGGAGGATGGCAAAGAACTCTAATATAAGAGACCAAGACATTTCTACACAGTTTGTCCAGACTGAAGATTTATTATAGCTGGCAAAGAGATGCAATAAAGTGGTGTGGGCTGTTTAGAGGTTTTCATTATTTATCATAAAAATAATATATTCACATGACTGAAAAAAATCTCAAACAATAAAAGTCTCACTTCCTCACCCTAGATTCTTAGCTGTCAACTTCTTGGTGTGCATTTATGCAGATTTCACTTTATATACAAAAACATGTGTATCCTCTTTGCACAGTGGTATTACACAATAGGAATGCTGTTTTCTGTGTTTGGGATTTTGTGTTTAATTTTATTTGAGAGAATTTTTTACAGCTTCACAAGTGGAAAAGTTAACTGTTAAAAAATATCATAGTAATTCATTCTAAGAATGAACAAAACCAAGAAGGTATAGTGGTCAACTGGATAATGGTGACTCTTTGAGAAATCCAGATTTTTCCTTGTAGGAAGTCCCTAGACTATTTACTTACAAGAAGGGTATATATGTATTTCAATATCAGTGCTGTTTTCAAACTGGCATTCCAATTCATGCCCCAATTTTTAAAAAAAAGTCTTTCATACATGTTTTAAACATAATAACATTTCCTTAGATGCTTACTTATAATTAGCATATTTACTTCTAATTTCATGATCAAACACTGGTTGGTTTTCTTTTGGGTGCTGTTGCATTTTCTGAAATGTAATTTAAACAATATTTACATAATAACTAAATTATATCTTTGACTCATATTCATCAATATTGATATAAGTTTTTAAAGATATTCTCCTTGGCTCTGTTCATGGTATTTTTTAATTCAGCTTCATAATGGTTTTCTATAAGCCTTTTTGAGTTTGTGTTTTAATTTAAAAGGCTTGACTATCCCTTTACTGAAGTTCAGTAACCAACTAACAAATGGTTAAAATGATGATAGTGGTGGTGATGATGGTGATGATGATGGTGATGAAGATTGTGGTGGTGGCAGTAATGTCAAGCTCTAAAATTGAGAACTTACTCTAAATAATGGAATGGAATGCATGTTTTATGCATCTCTTTCTTTCCCTTCCAACTTGCTACCTTGTTATTCCAATGTCTGTATCAATCAACTAATTTTTAACTGGTTAAAGCAGTACTTATCATTAGCTATTTTAGCACTTTATCTAGTCAAATGAGAACTGTTAATTCTGTGAAGATTGAGCCCCTTTTAGGATCTTTTTATTTTATATTTATGAAGCTTCTTCAACTATGCTTCTATAAAATCATGGTGATCTAACAGAATCAATTACAACTAATATATACCTCAAAAGTATTTGTGCCTTTTATTCAAGAACAATATACATATACGTGTGTGTGTGGATTTTGGAAATTTTCTTTTTAAAGCTGAGTGTGTAGCTGAGTGGTGGAGACCATGCTTAGTAAGCATAAGTTGTGGGTCTGTCTCCAGTATCACAAAACAAACAAAATAACCCCCCAAATCCCTTCAAATTTCTTAACTTCATAACTATTATTTTTATTATTGATAGTCTAAGTAACATGCCTTATTATATTAGAAATTGAATTGTTTATCTGTGCATAGAAAAAATAATGTATTGTACTAGTCTTACCAGCAAATTTTCTGATTTTTCAATATTTGTAGTTTTTCTTTGAAGTTGTCTGCTTTCCATGTATATAAAATTATGTTATATATCATAAATGATAATATCTACTTTATAACTTTTATGAAAAATAGTGTTTTATGTTGTCTAAAACAGTTGTTAATATGTTGGAATGATTCACTAGTATCTCTAGATATCATCCTCTTATATGTATCTAACATGGCAACATTAAGATAGTTGCTAACTTTCTTGCAAAGTTTCATTTAGAAATAAAAGCCAATAAAAAATTATTTTGCATTTGATTCTCTTATCTCAGGTACTGGAACTCACATATAATTCCTTAATCCTCATGCATTCATCCCAGATTTAAATGAAAATGTGTATTCTTTTTTAGTTTGTAGTTACTTAAAAGATAATTTTGATTATTGATTTACATAAAATTAATTTTATATGTAGAACATATAAAACCAATGTAGAATACTCTCTCTCTCTCTCTCTCTGTGTGTGTGTGTGTGTGTGTGTGTGTGTGTGTGTGTGTTACTAACATAGTGAAAAGTTGTCAGGAGTTATTGGTATTCAGAAGTTATATGAATATCAGAAGATTTATTTTTATTTATAACCTTCCTCTTCAATTATTAAAGACATGCCTAAATACATTGTCCTTTTCACTTTTATGTTAGTGATACCTTGCACTCATCATTAAAAATATTTGTATTTGAAACCTTTACTAACAAGTAAGTTGAAATCAGTAAAATTCAATTCACATGAGATTTTTTTTTTCAACATCTGGTAGAGTTATTTTCTCCATAATAAGACAAAGAGGTGAGGCATTGTCCTGATGTAAGTTTGTCCACAACTGGATTTTAGTTTTTTTTCTGTAGTCAGCAGCTTATGGTCACTGACGAACTAGTATATAGAATTACTGCTTGATTTCTTCACACCACCTATACTCTGTTAACATATGTTCCACGTGTCCCTTAGACTACTGGCTTCTTCCAGGCTCCTCAGTGTTCGTGTCTACATCATTAATTATCATCTCTTCAAATGATATTATTGCTGGGGACATTGAAGTGGGCACCTGTCATGTGCTAGTCTGTACTTGTTTCTGATTAGGCAAAACATATGAATTGTTTGCAATTTTGAAACCCAGATTCTGTTTTGAATGGAGAGAAATCTGTGCAAGATAAGATGTAAAAGTATTTCCAAATTCTGTTATTCTATTTCCCTTTGACTTGGAAATATTGGTTAATAAAGTCTTAACATCTACATCATAATATCACAAATTGATATCTGAATTTTTTAAAGTGCGGTTCTTCCTATTGGAGGTGAAAACACTTAAGCCACAGAAAAAAGGTATCCATATTTCTAAGTTAAGAGAAATTTAAGAGATTATGTAATTATTTTAATTAGTAGTTTGAAGTAAAACATTTGCATCATGAAAGTTTTATTGATAGTTAATTTTCAAAGAATAAATTAAAATGTTATATGAAATAATATAAAATATGTATGTGGATCAATGTTGGACAGTGATGTCAACAACCATGTGTTCCCATTTACAGACTACTCCTGTATTTCAGGATATTTACCTTTGACTACCACACAAGTGAAGTTCACAGACATTATTTGCTAGAATATTTAACATTAATTCATTTGATTGTTTCCGCATATGTATTGAATAGTCCTATAGTCCAACAACAAGAAAGCATTTATTCTTCATGGCTTGCTTTGCATGTATAGAAGGAGATCACTAATTCTTAAAACTAATTCAAAGTTTTCTGCCAAAGGATAATAAGTGCATTTTCAACTCTGCTACCTCAAACAGTATTATGATAATAGTATAGCGAGAAGTGAACCCTGAACCGCAATCACAAACTCACCAGAGGTTTCATCTACTCTCTCATCTACTACGTGGTCCTTCTGATGAACCCATTCACTGTTACATTTGAAGTAGATCTGGGTGGCAGGGCTTGCTTTACAATACAAGTTCACAGGCTTGTTCTTCACAATATAAGCTTCTTCAGGCTCAATGAGGAAGTGTGGCAATGGCTCAGGTGGGTCAGATGGAAAGGTTTCTGGGAGTTCATGAAAAAAGTCATCATCTGGTGGAGGAATAGAAAGGGGAAAATGATCAAAATGTAGCAACTTGTCTTTTGGTTGCTATTTGTTTTTTAAGAAATGGCTCACACACACAAGATTGAAGTTTTTGAATGCCTGCTACTTGAAATGCAATATTTAGAAATATTGAGTGGTTGCTCAGTAAATAATTTGATTATTATTTTATTTTATACATGTGACAAAATTCAGCCATAGGAATAATGAATCATACTGAATACATATGGAGTAGGTATCACACTGGGAACAAAGCTCAGGGTCTTGTCATGCATAGAATCTATGATAGTCATAATATATTATATGCTTTTCAGGGTACAGGGTTACTGTTAAGAACTGAAACAAGGGACTGAAGAGAAGGATCAGTTCCTAAAGCACTTATTTCTGTTCCAAAGGACTTTGGTTCAATTCTCAGCATCCACATGGAGACTATAACTACAGTTCCTGAGAATCAGATGTGCTTTCTGGCCTTTGATGGGCACTCCACATTTGGGATGCACAGACACTCGAGCAAGCAAAACACCTCTCAAAAACCAATACTGAAACAAACAGAAACAACTTCTATTAGAAGTATAAGGCTTGCAGTAAACTTTAAATCATTTTTCAAACATCTGTGTAAGTTCACTAAAAATGTGAATTAAAGTTGTCTAAATTCAGATCCAAATTGATCACTAGTTTCAATAGGTGCACTTGACTCAGTCAGGTGAGCAAATAACACATCCAGCAGATTGTACCTATATATTATTTGTTTCTGTGTGTGTGTGTGTGTGTGTGTGTGTGTGTGTGTGTAATAAGAATTAAAGAGATGAAGTGGAGAGACATATTATAAGATGAAGTGAGAAGGAGGAGAGAAATCATGTAAATACAATAAACATAAATGAAACTTTAAGAATAAATAACAGAGAATAAAATTCTTATTTGAAATATGAAAAAAAAAGAAAATATTTACTGAGGCCCGTCAGTGGTGGCATACACTTTTATTCTCAGCACTTGGGAGGCGAACTCACTGAGTTTGAGGCCAGCATGGTCTACAAAGTGACTACGACAGCCAGAATGCTATGCAGAGAAACCCCTTGTCAAAAAAACAAAGGAAGAAAGATAGAAAGAACAAAAGAAAGAAAGAAAGAAAATCTTCATTGAGACTAAAATTCTATGTGGTCTAATTTTGACAATTTACTTCATCTGATACATGTTATTATGTGACCACTAGAACATTGCTCAAAACCTCATTATGAACAAATCTCATTTTTATAGATTTCCATATTGTCAGATGTGTTACTCCCTCTCTGATCTATCAACATCATTGAATACATCTCATCTACAACCACTGGACAGATCTGTATACTTTGAAGTCCTCTTATATTTCTTAATTTGGATTCTACATGATTCCAATTTTTAAAAAGTCATGTTTATTTTGTTTTTAATAAAGTCTAGTAATGTTTTATAAAAAGATAAGAGTCTTTCAATTATGTTATATGTTATGCCTGATAATTATATTCTCATGAGGGACAGAAAAGAACAAACTATCATTAGTTCACAAATATGCTAATATTGCACATTAAAATTCATGGGTCAAAGATAACAATGTAGTTTACAAGTTCTCTGGAAGTACTCTTGTACAGTATTACACAGATGCTATGATGTTGGTATTTAGAGATGGTGGCTCAGACATTACCTTGAAACCTATTATATTATGTATTCAGTTGCTATCTGATTTTTGGGAGCTAGCCATTGGTGAAGTGGACATCTGTCCACTAAGAAATCTGGCCTGAGACTTTTTTCATCTAGGTCGTGGGATAGCTTTCAAATAGTAATGACACCCAGTCACTGCCAATCTGTTTTGCAGTAAAAAAATTGGCTTTACTTGAATCACAGGCAAAACTAGTTTTAGAAACTGCTTCACCATAGTCAATTCCTGACGTTGTGGAAATGATGTCTGCTGTAGCTAGGCGTTCTTCCTTCCTTCACCTCCTGATATACTTTCTCTGGCAAGGCATCATTTGTAGTTTTTTCACTGCTGACAAATATGGACACAAACTGTCAGCTTACTAAAGAATAACCTTGTACATAGCAATTCCAGCTCAACTAGTCAATATGCAAGATCACTCTAGACTGATCAGAGCCAGAAAAGCAAAGGGACGTGGAACGGGAACTATTGACAGATTCTTCTGCACAAAAGCCGATGCCTTGAATGCCTTACCCAATATTTCTGTCATCTTCCAGAGTACTTCCTTTTATATGTGAGGATGTACTAGGCTGATAATCAATACAGCTATATGAAATGCCATGCTCAAATTCTACTGAAGCATGGATCTTGTTTCATTATTATTAATGAAAGTAAACAAGACAGCAGCCCTAGCTTATTTCACTTTCCTTTTGGATTGTGTTTGCGTACAAAGAAACATGGAAGTATACTTAAAGCATCAGATGAAAGATATTTTATTTTTTACATAGTTTAGTAAATGTGTAGTTTTAAGTGAAGCTTGTTTCTTTAAAAGAACTGATTATAAAGTACTAGCTAATTATACACATCTATTTTATTTGGTAATATAACATAAGTATTTATATGTTCATATATCATTAAACTTCATAATGACACTAAAAGTCAGTTATAGCACTAGCCAAAAATATGCATTTCTTTAGTTTCATTATTTTATTGCATGTTCTGAGAAGAGGGATAATAATGGAATATCAGAAAAATCACATTCATATTTTAAGCTCAATAAAATGCCAACAGGAGAAGTGATGATTTAATAATAGAACACATATGATAAAACTAATAACTCATTTCTTTAATTTTGAGTTTTACCATAATATGACCATTACAAGTGAAAGAAATTAGCCCGTGTCTAGGCATAGTATTGATTTGTCAAGTTGATTGTTAACACTTAAAAAGGAAAAAAAAAATAAGGAATCATTTCTATCATTAGAAATAACATTTTCTCTCTTTGATGACTCTTATATTTTCAATTGTATATAATTATCATTTCCACAGAATTCACTCCAAGTGTTCCTCTAGGGAGTTGACTTAACAAACAATAGTCTATTAGCTTATTATTTCTTATGGTGCCCATATTGTAAACCCCAATTTATACCCTACATGAAATCACATTCAACATTATATCTTATTTCTAATACTCAGTTCAAGAATAGAAATGATAATTGGCTAAGGAAATCCAAGACCTTGAGTTAGTAGATATGTGTAGTGGGATAATTATAACAAAATAAACAGGTTGATTCTAATGGTTATAGTTTTTATACCAACCAGTTTAATGCATCTATTAATACACAACTAATATTTAATACTAGAATGGAAATAACTTGATGATACAGTTCATGTTGTATTCATTTTTATTTTTATGGTTTGAAATAGTTTTAAAAAATATGTATATATGTGTGCATGCAGGAGTTTATGTATGTATGTATGTGTTCACACACCTATGGTAGCCAGAGGGTAACATAACCCTGGAAACTGTAAGATGCCTAATGTGGTTTCTGGGAACATACATAGAACTTCCTGAATAATTTGTTTGACAAAATATAGAAGAAAAATTCAAAAATCCTGATTAAAATATATGAAGATTTCAGAGAGAATGGCAGGACAACATTAACTGAGGCTCTGGTCACTTGAGACATCACAGGTCACATTCACTAGGAACCCAACCCTACCTCCAGATGAAATAAACTGGGCATTCTGCTCCCCAGTGACTGAACAGATATGACATCATTCCTGCTGGACATTCATGCTGAAACTTATTGGGGATTTCACATATTTTTAAAGGTAGGCTGGGCATTTTCTAGAAGCCATTGAAGTTCAGACTAAGAAACCTAAACTATAACCAGTTCCTTGCAATTGAAGATGTGTGGCAATCTGTGCACAGCCTTCACTTGAAATCTGTATCTGTTTCGTTGGCAAGAGCACCCATGGCTCAGTGTTTATGTATGAGTGTTTGTTCCTGTTTCCAACAGGCATTAGATGAGGGCCCCATGGATAAGTTAGTTGTTGATCTCATTATCTGGGAAGGGCATTTATGGTAGCCTTTCCAAGGTTACTCAAATTGTTAGTTGGCGGCAGTCTTGTAGTTCTCTAGAACTTTCTTTGTGTTCAATTTTATCTTCAAACCAATATTGGCTCCCTCTTTTATTCTCTCTCTCTCTCTCTCTCTCTCTCTCTCTCTCTCTCTCTCTCTCTCTCTATCTATCTATCTCCTGTCTTCTATTCCTAACCAGGCTCAGTCTTCCTGGTCTCAAGTGTTTTCCTTCCTCTCCCTCGCTTTCTCCTACTTCTCTCTACATTTGCTGCTCCCCCCCACCCCACTTCCCCTGTGCTCTGGGGGACTTGTCCCTTCCCCCTTCTGTGAGGGACTTTATATGAATCTCTTAGAATACACCTTGTATCCTAGTTCCTCTGGTGGTGTGAATTATAGGCTGGTGATCCTTTGCTCTAGGTCTAAAATCCATATATGAGTGAGTATATACTATGTTCCTCTTTTTGTGAGTGGGTTACCTCATTCAGGATGGTTTCTTCAAGTGCCATCCACTTGCCTGCGAATTTCAAGATACCATTATTTTTTTCTACAGAGTAGTATTCCATTGTGTAGATGTGCCACATCTTCATTATCCATTCTTCAATTGAGGGGCATGTAGGTTGCTTCCAGGTTCTTGCTATTACAAATAGTGCTGCTATGAACATAGTTGAACAGATGTCTTTGTTGTATGGATGTAGATCATTTGTGTATATGCCTAAAGGGGGATTGCCGGGTCCTGTGGTAAACTAATTCCCATTTTCCTGAGGAACCACCATACTGATCTCCAAAATGGCTATATGAGTTTGCACTCCCACCAGCAGTGGAGGAGTGTTCCCCTTTCTCCACATCCTCTCCAACATGAGTCATCATTGGTATTTCTAATTTTAGCCATTCTGGCAGGAGTAAGATGGTATCTCAAAGTTGTTTTGATTTGCATTTCCCTGATAGCTAAGGATGTGGAG